CAAGTCAAATCTAGCCCAAGGACCAAGTTAATATTATGCTGACTAAGAGAATACAAAGGACGGCTTACCTAGCCCAAGGACCAAGAGGTCAAGATGAGGGCTAGGGTCGCTACAGGTGGGGTTTATATACTGAGTCAGGGGAGCCAAACATGTACAAACGTAAAGGTGGTCTGTGCGCACGTTAGTGCCAGTCTGCAGGTGGGGGTCAGGTGACTGGTCACATGCTTCTAACTACTGGTTCTAAGTCTAAGTGTCGTACAAATGGCCGTAGAAAATAAGGAAAAATGCGGAAAAATATAGGGGTCTCGTCGTCTCCACGACATTACCCCCCTCCTATTGTCCATCGTCCCTGATGGACCCACGGCCCGGGAAGCGTCCGCTCTCCCAGTCGCGGTCCGGTGGTGCGGCATCTGTGAAGGTCACGCGTGGCTGCCATGGGAGGTTCTTGAAGTCAACGGCCTGGATCTTTCGAGGGGCGCTGGGTGCGTGTTTGTGGAACTCGGCTACCTTCTCCGGTGCGTTGGTCAGGTTTGATGCCGGTTCCCAGCTGTCCTCACCTTCGCCGTACCCCTTCCAACGTACAAGGTATTGTAGTTGGTTGCGGTAACGGCGGCTATCCAGGATCCGATCGACTTCGTACTCCTCCTCGCCTTCTACCTCTACGGGTTCCGGCGGTGGGGGTAGGCGACCATTGACCTCGTTGCCCCTCCATGGGGATAAGCGATCAACGTGGAATACATCATGAAGCTTGAGTGCGGGGGGAAGGGCTAAGCGATAGTCAAGGTCTCCGATCCGTTCAGTGACTTCGAACGGGCCGAGTTGCCGGGGCCCTAGCTTAGGGGTCGCTTGGTGGATGTGGATGTTCTTAGCGGTGAGCCAAACCCGGTCGCCGACCTTGAACGTGTGTGCTTTTCGCTTGCCGTCTTCGTAGGCTTGCTTCATGCGTTCCTTGCTCATGCGTAGTGCCGCTTCTGCTTCCTTCCGGGCTTCTCGGAGCTTGCTGAGCCGAGCGTCCAGAGATGGGATCTGCGTAGGACGTCCTGCCGGGATGGTGAAGTCCGGGCGGTAGCCATACAGGACTTCAAACGGGGTTTGTCCATGAGCTGTCTGTACCCGAGAGTTGAGCACAAACTCTGCCGTGGGGAGGAGGTCCGCCCAGTCGTCCTGTCGCTTGTCGTAGTAGATCCGAAGGTATTGTTCTACCTCCTGATTGGCTCGCTCTGTCTGTCCGTTTGCCATGGGGTGATACGCCGTGGTGAGACCGCTTTCGATACCAAGGCGCTTGTACAGGGCCCTGGTGACACGGGCGGCAAACTGGGGCCCCCTATCCGACACAATTTTCTGGGGAATGCCATGAAGCCGGAAGATGGTCAGATAGTGCAGTTCGCCTATCCCCTCGGCGGTGACGGTGTCGGTGGTGGCTACCAGGTGGACCTGCTTACTGTAAAGGTCAACGTACGTGGCGATGGCGTTGTACCCTTTCGACGAGGGCAATCCGGTAATCAGATCTACTCCCATGACTACCCAAGGGCCTTCCGGTACCTCGTGTGGTTGGAGTGTGGCCCGGGGATGCGCGGCCGCCTTGTAGCGCTGGCATTTGTCGCAACCCAGGACGTACTTCTCGACAAACCCGCTGATCCCCGGCCACCAGTACAGCCGTGTGACTAGTTCGACCGTCCCATGCTTTCCTGGGTGCCCTGCCGTCGGCGCATCGTGGCACTGCTGGACGATGGCCTCCCGTAATCCTTCCTCGGGCGGGATGTACAACCGACCACGGTAGTACACCAGCCCTCCCTCCTCTTCCCATTCCCACGTCCCATCCGTCAACCGTCGCGGCCCGTCCTCCCGAAGGGCTTCCAAACCCTTGAGGACTTCCGCCTCCCGCCTGCTACTCTCCCTGATCCGTTCCTCTAGCGGGTTAACCGCGCGTAGTGCTGACGCCGCGATGGTGGCAAAGCGTTCGGGCCGAAGGACAATCTGATCCTGATTGTCCTCGGCGTCGGTGACTTGAAACTCCGAGATGCGTGAGAGGGGATCGGCCTGGGTGTTGGCAGTTCCCGGCTTATGTGTGAGTCGGAAATCAAAGCGTGACAGCCAAAGAGCCCAGCGCGCCTGTCTCCGGGTGAGGTTCTGGGCGGTGCGCCAGTACTCAAGGTTGCGGTGATCGGTGATGATCTCGAAGGGCTCGGGTAGCCCCTCGAGGAAGTGCCGCCAGTCCTCCAGTCCTCTCACGATGGCCAACAGTTCTCGGTCGTAGATCTCGTAGTTTCGCTCAGCCTCCGTCATGGATTCTGACCGGAATGCAACTGGGTGCCAGAGTCCGTCCTCGAGCTTCTGCAGAAGGACCCCTCCGGTGGCGTACCCCGAGGCGTCTACCTCGACTCGCGTAGGGCGGTCTGGTTCCCAGGTCACCAGCACCGGCTCCGTGGTGAAGGCTTCCTTGAGGGTTTCGAACGCCGTTCGCTGCCGCAGTCCCCATTCCCAGGCGACGTCCTTCTTGGTGAGGTCGTGGAGCGGTCGTGTGATCTTAGCGAAGTCCTTGATGAAGCGACGGTAGAAGTTGGCAAACCCGATGAACCCGCGGACCTCCCGTAGGTTCCGTGGGGTCGGCCAGTCGCGTACAGCCTGGACTTTGATGGGGTCCATGCTGACTTCGCCCTGTCGGATCACCAAGCCCAAGTACTCAATCTCGGTCTGCTCGAACTCGCACTTTTCGGGTCGTAGGAACAGGTCGTGTTCCTGGAGCCGACGCAGTACTTCGTGTGTGATCCTGCGGTGCTCTTCCCGTGTGTCACTGAAGATGAGGATGTCGTCCAGGTACACTGCTACCTTCCCAGCGGCTATCAGGTCGCCAAAGATAGAGTTCATCAGCGCTTGGAAGGTGGCCGGGGAGTTGGTGAGACCGAAGAACATGACCCGTGGTTCAAACAGACCCCTATTGGTCGTGAAAGCTGCTTTCCACTCATCGCCTTCCTTGATCCGGATGTTGTTGTAGCCCCAACGAACATCGAATTTGGTGAAGTACTTAGATTGGCGAAGGCGATTGATGATGTCAGAAGCGAGGGGGAGTGGGTACCGGTTTTTGACGGTGATATCATTCAACTTTCGATAGTCTTGGACCATGCGGAGTTTCCCGTCCTTCTTTTTGACAAAGAAGACCGGTGAAGCCATGGGGGACTTAGAGGGGACGATGTAGCCTTTGCGAAGGTTCTCATCGAGGAAGGCGTCGAGCTCGGCTTGCTCGTTTACCGGCATCGGGTATACTTTGGAGCGGATGGTTTCGGGGGCGTCGGGCTTTAGATCGATGGTATGATCATAGGGCTTATGCTCGGGTAGACGCTCCGAATCCGGTTCTGAAAACACCTTGGCATACTGCCGATATTCCTCGGGAACCATTTCGTCAAAGGTCTTCTTCGGCTTGGCCTGATGCGCCTCGGCGGCGAGCTCGGTGGAGTACGTGAACCCGGCGGCACACCAGAGTTCCTCCGTGGCTTCCTCAAGCACACCGTGCTTTTGCCAATGCCGGCGAAGGCGTCTGTTGGCCGCGATCTTCTCAAACGGGGGGAGATCTTCCTCGGGGACCGCCGACCGGTCCTCCGTATCAACCTCGACCCTGCCGTTTGTCCAATTGATCTGCGGGTTGATCTTTCGTAGCCAGGGAAGCCCCAAGATCATGTCCTCTGGCCCAATGTTGGTGACTAAGAACTCGGTGCGCTCGGTGTGCGTGCCGATGCTGAGTTCAAGGCGGGCGTAATGGGTGATACTGCCGGCTTGGTTACGGGAGCCGTCAATATTATGAAGCGGGATGGCTCGGGCGAGGGGATGGATCATGACTCGATGCATGTCAACGAAGCGTTGATGGATGAATAGACCGGTGGCTCCCGAATCTATCATGGCTACTGCGGCTACGCTACGGTTTCGTCCTCTGACGTTCACACTGATACGGAAGTGAGAACTATTCACATCTATTTCCGGTATACTAAAAGTACAGGAGGCGACGGAATCATAGATAGACGAGGACGGGGGATGCGTGCGTAAACCTTCGGGCGGCGGCGTCGTAGCCTTATCGCGCGCCCGTTCTAAAAAGCCTGCTTCATCGCTTCGATCTGCGCGGCCAGCTGTCGCTGCCCTTCGAGGAGTTGGGCGATCACGTCGACCTGGCTGGCCGAGACGGTGGCCTCAGCGGCGGCTGCGGTGTCCGAGGGTGCCTCCTCGGTCGCTGCCACACGCTGCTTCTTCGGCTGTCCCATGAACTTGCTCTGGCAGACCACCTCTCGATGACCCGTTCTTCCGCACCAGGCACAGATGTCGCGCTCGTGATTGCCGTCGCGTTTGCTGTGGGCGGTGGAGCCGCAACCAAAGCACTTGCCTGTCATCGACTTGATGAAGGCTTCGCGCGAGTGCGTTCCATCAATGTCCATCGCGTTGGGGTCTTTTGCGACGAATGGGGCGGCGGAAGTAGTGGCTGGGGGGAACCGAGGGGAGGGGACGCTTTTGCCTTGCTCGCGGGCTTTCTCAGCCCTGCGCTGGCGAATGCGGACGTCGAGCTCCGTCGCCACAGTTAGGAGCTCGTCTAGGGTGCCAATGGGCTTGGCGGTGTGCACAAGCTCGTCCTTGATGCTGCTGGCGAGGTGCTCATAAAAGCGGTCGCGGAGGTCGGCCGCTGAGTAGCCCGTTCGGCTCATCAGCTCTTTGAACTTGGCGGCATACTCAGGGACCGTCTTGCTTCCTTGCCAGAGTGTGCGGAGCGCGTCCTTGGCGTCAACCGCCTCGTTGGAAGTTTCGAAGCGGGAGCGGAAGTCGGCCTTGAAGGTGGCCCAGGTGTCCTGGAATGGCCGTTTGGCGACCTCGGCCTCAGCCACAGTTTCGAGGTACGGGGTGGCCCAGATGGCCGCTTCGTCCTGCAGGAAGGTCAGGGCGGAGACGATCCACTTTCTTTCGTCGGGAGCGTACGTGCCGTCTGCCTGCGCGTTGTTGAGGAGACTGCCCGTGGTCATTGCGTAGGTGCTGAACGCGGCGAGGAAGCGGCGGGCATCGGCACTCGAATTACCCTTAAACGGCATGGGTTTCTGGAGGGCTTTGTCGAGGGTGCGCTCCGTCGCCCCCTGCTGGCGATTGTTGACAGTGGTAGTGAGGGTGGTGACGGCCTGCGTGAGGGCGGTGAGGGCCTGCTGCATCTGGGTCTGGCCCGCGATGAGCGCATTGATTGTTTCTTGAGACATAGTGGGAACCGGGGGTGTGGGTGGAGCTTCGGGGGAGGGGGCGCGTACCGGCGATACGGGACGAGTGAGTGGTGCTGGGGTTGGTGCCCGGGTGCTTGGGAGGGGAATAGATTCCGGGATAAGCCCGCGGATCTGGTCGAGGGTGGTGGGGTGGAAGCGAGGGAGGTTTTCCGAGGCAAGTCGTCGTGGGGCGGTGATGGAGAAGAGGCGGTTGGGGCACGGAAAACTATCGCAGTCGTTCCACAGGTTCTCCCCTGGCTCGTAGTAGCAGTCGGTCTGGTCTATGTGGTCGTAACCGTGCTGCTTGTTGTGGCACTCAAGATCCAGGGTGTCCACTCCCGATCTCGGGATGTTATCCGCAGTCTCGCTACCCGACGCTGTCTGCTCAGCCTCCTCGGCCTATTGCTGCGTCCTTTTACCACAAGGGGCACGAGCCCAAGGGTAACCTGCCTTGGCTTCCTGTTGCCGCTTTTCTATGCCTCCTACACCCGAGGGTGCACCCGTTACAGTCAACACCGGATTTTACACTGCGGGTCAGGCAGATTCCGCGTATTGTACCAATCAGAAGATCGGCAAGCCAAGGGTTGCGCCCTGACCACTACTCCGGGGTGACAAAGCGCGTGCGCAAGGAGGGACCAACACAGGGGGTGATCACGAACGGAATGGACTTACACGTGAGGGAAGATCTGGTCGGCAGATCTCCGGCACGGTGGGGGATCTTGACCTAATGTCGCGGAGCTAGACTCGACGCGACCAGGCAACGCCTACAACAAAGAAACTAATACGATCTAACCCAAGGGCGGCGAGCTCGAAGACTTGCTAACGCCGAGCGTAGACTTTCAAGTCAAATCTAGCCCAAGGACCAAGTTAATATTATGCTGACTAAGAGAATACAAGGACGGCTTACCTAGCCAAGGACCAGAGGTCAAGATGAGGCTAGGGTCGCT